GAATTTAAAGATTATTTTCGGGTTAAAATCAAATTATTCAACTTTATTAACTTCCTTTTTATTTTAAAATCAAAATTCTATATGTTTATGTCCTATATGACACATTCTACCTATATTACATGAAAAAAAATAACATCATCAAGATGTTGATATTACAAAAATAAACAATAAAAAATAAAATCATCCATTTATATAAATAAACGGAGTTGAGTAGAGTTAGCATTCTTCCAAATTGCCACATGCGAACAAACAATATTTTTTCAAATTTGCCTTTCAAAAAATTTTCATTTATTTTTTCTTCGGCAATTTAATCATACATTTTGATGTCTATCAAGGTATAACATTCACAATCTTTTGTTTATTATAACAAAATGAGGAATTTTTGCCCAATCTTTTTTACAATTTAGAATTTTCAAAAAAACCACGTTAAAATCAACCTTTGTCATTTTTTTTCTGTAAGGATATGGTAAATATTCATTCTAACAATATCATCCATTTATTTAATAAGTGGAGTTGGCAAATGAAAAAGTTAGCATTGCATATTTTAATTTGAATTTTAAAAAAACTGATAAAAATTCTTTTTCATTAATTACAAAAAAGATTTTTTGTTTTTCTTTTTTGAAATTCTTTTTCATTATCTTGATAAAAATTAAAATTCGTGAAAAAGTTAATTTTTCCCTTTTTTCATTTGTTATATTTTCTTTAAAAATTCATTTTTTCTCTTTGAAATGAATTTTGAAATTTTTTTTTTCATTTTCAAAACATCAAAAAGTTTTGGAAGTGGCTTTGAATTTTCATTTTTACAAATTTTTGTTTTCTTGTTGCTTCAATTCTACAAAAAAAAAAGACTATTGCAACATGTGTTGTTTATCCTTTTCAAAGATTGGTTTGGGTTTTTTTAAATTTTTTTAAAAAAAAAAAGCAAATATCAAAAAATGTTAATCCAAACTATATTTATTTATTTATATTTGGTTTTTCCTTAAGACAAACATGATTTTCAATGCATTTCATCATTTATATATAGCAAGAGCATTTCCAAAGAATAAAGAATGATATAAAAATGCATTGGAAATTCTCCATTATTCATTATCCATTAATTTCTCATCCTTTCTTCTATCAAATTATCTGACCTTCTACAAATCTTCTGTAAAAAAATGCATCCATAAAGGCTTTCCATGTAAGATGGGTGAAATGCTTAAAAAAAAAAAATAAATATATTAAAATTTAGTTTAGATTTATTAAAAGTGAAACAATAAACCTTATTTTTTCTTTATTTAACTGTTTTTTTTTTTAATCATTTTGAAACCTTTAAAAAATAAATTTTTGATTTGATTTTTAAATAAAAATGCATTAAAATTTTTTACTATAAAAATGGTAAATAAATTTTTTTAAATAAGAAAATGTTTTTAAATGATTTTACTCATGAAAAATACATTTTTTGTATTTTTTTAGTATTTGAAATACATTGTAAATATTTTTGAACTTATTTGAATACATTGCAAATTTTTTTACTATAAAATGCATTTTTAAAATGATTTTTACTATGAAAATTTATTTATATTGATTTTTACTATATGCCTTTGTATTGATTCAACAATTTTAAATAAGTCAAAAATTTATTGCAACTGATTTTTACTTTTAAAATGAAAGATTGCAAATGATTTTTAAATATATTTTTGTGAATTTTTTAAATGATTTTTACTATAAAATATCTATATTAATGATTTTTACTATAAAAATGTATTTACAAATAAATTTTTTACTATTCAAAAAGCATTCAGCAAGTTGATTTTACTATGAAAATGCATAGCAAATGATTTTTACTATGAAAAAGGAAAATTTTTTCTGATTTTTAAATAAAAATGCATAGCAAATAATTTTTACTTTAAAAATACATAGAAATTTTTTTACTATAAAAATGCATTGTAAATTTATTTTTTTTATAAAATTATTGCAAATTTTTTACTATAAAAAACATTGATAGATCAATTCACAAAATTTTCTCTCTGAAATTATTTTTGCAAAAATATTTTTTATCAGAAATTTCTTTGCATATCTATAAGTCTACCATTTGTCCATGCTTTTAATATTGCTTCCACATATGATTTGGTGCTTCTGTTATTTATTTAGAGATTCTTAATAAAATCTAAATAAGAATCAATTATTATTTAATTTTGATTTTGTTTCACTATTTTATTTAGTCATTTTCCACTGTTATAATTTGAGCTTGATCTGCCATTTTTCTATAAATACTTTCATAGTAATTGTCCAGATAAATATTGCGATTAATCTTTTTTATGTTATATACCGTACCTTTGAACACTAATGGGTATGTCCAATCCTCATAAATACATTGGACACTATTGTAAGTGTAAGGGGGGTAATATGCTATGTAAAGTAGTCCACCACTAGCAGTGGTTTACCTACTTCACGCCGCTGGCGAGTATTGTATTTTGTTGATGTTATAAAGATTACCATTTCATTTCCAACCTCCGTTTTGGTTATTCCTCATAGTTTATTTTATGGTTACATCTAACTGTTTTGACTGTAAAGTGATGAGATCTTGCTGCCAATCTAATTAGTCTTCTTTTATGTGTTGTGTCCCTTCAGGATGTAAGCAATCATGGCCCTACACATCTTTCTCTCTTATAGCTCTTAATAAGTTTTGTTTTTTGTTATTTCTCCCAAACCCTGTTCTGCCATCCATTTGGTCAAGCCCATCAAGTATGTTACACGCTGCTTTCCTCTGTCCCTCAATCTGTCCTGTGAGTATCAGATTTTCCAAGCTCTTCTTCCTCATTATGTGGCCAAGAAATTTCAACTAACTCTTCCTGATGTTAAGTATAAGTTTCCTTTTTGTTTCCATTTTCTTCAAAACCCCTTTCTTGCTTACATGTTCGGTTCATGGCATCCTCATCATCTTTCTGCTCATTTCTGTTGCTTCAAGTCTTTTCCTTGTCTTTGAAGAGATTGTCTAGCATTCACTGTCATACAGAAGGACAGATATCACACAATGGTTCAGTACTCTTTTCTTTGTTTCTAAAAAAAAACTTTTCTGTCTCTCAATACTCTGCCTAACTTTTGGAATGCATCCTTGGTCATCCTAATAAATCTTTAGTATTCCCGATTTGTAATTTGCATTTTCGCCTTGTCCTTTTACTGATAACCATGCACTCTGTCTTATAGTTTATGCTTAGTCTTTTCTTCTCATTTTCCTTTGCTATCTTCTGTAGGAGGTTTTGTAGTTTCCTTTCCATGTCTATCAGCAATGTGTCATCTGCATATCTTATATTGTTAAGATTGTAGCCCCCAATAATTAATCCTGGTAGGACTTCTAATTCTCTCAGAATTGCCTCTTAAATATATTGAATAAATCTGGTGAAGAAGACACAACAAAATTGTATTTTTGTATATCTGCTGAATTCATTTTCTGTCCATATGCAGGTTGTTTGCTGCCTGTATAGATTCTTGATTATTCTAATGTCTTTCCTGAATATGTCAAAGTTGCTGAGCAGCTCCAACAGATCTGTGTGATATACTTTGTTGAACACTTTATCGTAATCTGTAAAACACAGGAACACATCCTTCTGCATTTGTATTGCTCTTTCTGATAACATTCTGAGCATGAATATTGCTTTCCTTGTTCCAGTGTCTTTGACAAACACACCCTGTTCTTATCCTATCTCAGGACTGATTCTGCTGTCCACTCTGTACTGTGTTTAAATTCATAGAGTCAAAGTCCCATAGAAGAAAGTTCATCAGAACAATTACTCTGAAAGGATTTATTTTATATATTGTAGATTCAGTTTTTTTAATCACAACCCAATTTACTTTTAGTCTATGACTAATCTGCTTCACATTGGTTATTTTCATGAATAAGGTAAAAGAAAGAAAGAAAAAATGAAGTACTTACACCCCTGTGAAAATTAATTAAAATAAAAAGAATAATTCCGTTATTATTTACTTTTTTTTTCATATTTTTCCAATGAAACATGACCCAGTTAGTACTTCATATGTCCATTCCACAAAGTTGTTTTTTGCAGATTGACCACAGATTCTTGATTGGATTTAAATCAGGAGAGTTTCCAGGCTAATCTCTAGTACTTTGATTTGCTCACTGATAAGGCTTGCCAGTGTGTTTGTGCAATGTTACAATTTTTGTACACTTCCTTGGAGTAACGTACCTCATAGACAATGTCTGTAGGACAACTAATCGACAGTCAAGACAATAGTGTCTGGGTGTGATGAAAATCTGTAATCATGGATAACACAATATTTTTCAAGGTCAAACAAATTTTATCATACACACTGAAAATAGATTCATATTACTGCACACTACTGCCAATGACCTAATCTGAAGAAAAAAATAGAAAATGATTACACCCTGTCACTCCAGTGGGTCTAAAACTGACCATATGGTGAAAGAAAGGAAACTAAAGCAGTTGTTTCAATTAATTTGCACAAGTGTGTACAAGCTCTGACAGTTAATTTGTTTTGCATTGTAAATCAAAGAGATAGTGATTCCTTTGTTCAGGAATTATTGTAAAGATTATTTCTTATTATGATAAGCTTTATATTTCCTAGAATTTTTAGGCTCTATTGTAAAAGTGGATCGATGACTACCATTTTTAGGCTCTATTGTAAAAACAGAACTGTATCTACCTTTTAGGTTAATGTATGAAATTGTGATTCTGTATTAATTTATTGTGATTTTTGTTCTATAAGACTGATATTTGACATTATATGACAGAGCAAGGTTTGATATGTCAGTGAATTAACCAAACTATGTAAATTAAATTTGTACCTTTGTTGTGATCAGTAAATTTTGGGATAATTTTGATGTATTTTCCTTTTAAAATGTTTTAACTATTTCAGCAAAAATGTGGAAATTTTCTTCCCAATAAGAACTGTGATTAAGACTGTATCTTTGTTTTATTTTGCAGCATTGCCTTGATATTGTCCATCTCAATTCCCGAAGACCTTTTGCTAACAGTCAGCTGATGATCTATGTGGATGGCTATATGTATTTAAATGCACAACTCAAGTTCCCAACAACAACAGAAGTATGTCATTTTTTAAAAATTTATTCCATCCAGATTGATCTGTCTCTATTATTTCCTATTTTTTGTTGACATTTCAACATTTTTTTTTTATTATTTACATGTAGACAATTTTCATCATTTTTGCTGTTACCAAAGAAAATCCATTGTGCCTTCATCAGGTGTCTATTGATCTTGGTAACCTACAGGGAATTTCAAACTTAATCCTTCAATTAATCTTCAGGGGTAAACTCCCCCATGTCTAGTTTTTATTAATACTGCTCAGTTATTGCTCACCCTGTTTCTACTGATCCCAAATATACACTGCCCAGCTCAGGAATTGAACTCACAATTACTATGTTGGTTTTGTCTATGTTGGTTTCAATCTGGACTGCAAAAACATTCTCCTCCCCAAATTTATAAACAAAACACAGAGATGCATGCTGGGATTTCTTCCTAACCAATAAGATAGGCCACTTCTCAGTCTCATCAGATTTAGTTCCAGTCTTTCGTGTTTTGAAGTCAGAACGCTGCAATTGTTTGTCTGTATCCCGTTTTGTGTGTCAACCCCAATTCTTAGTTTGTGAACTTTTTTCCTTATTATCGTTGCTTTGTCTTGCATATATTGTTTGCTTGCTTACTATTATTTTTGCCCTTCCCTTTTTTTTCTTATTATTGGTTATTGCAAACCTTGACAATTCTCTTTGTTGGGTATTTGTGCCAATTACATTTAACCATGACCGAATACTCTACATTCTGTATTTCTTTATTCTGCATGCTCTGTTACTAGGGTTAAGACATAAATAAGAATGCACCTTTGATTTTTTCATAAGACACCCACCAAAACTGCCATCTACCATTTCTAAATGCTTATAGTAATTTTTCAAGCTCTATATTTGATGTGGCACAAGGATTTATAATTAGCACCCAGTGAGGATTGAACTCATTACTTAGCCGTAATTGTTCTAAGCAAATACAAACCTTAACCATTAATTCATTGGTGCCCCAGTGATTTTCTAAACCCGAACTTAGATATGGCACAATATTGAAAGTATGGAGCACATAGACAGTGAGGATTGAACTCACTATTCAGTCATAATTGATCTAGCAAGACAAGCTTTCTAACCATTACACCACGTCAAGGTGCCCAACTAAATGCTTATAGACCAGTGGTTCCCAACCGATTTTGGGCCATGCCACACTTTGGTATTTCTAAAATTTTGGTGCCCCCCCCTGTAATATTTAATTCTTACATATTCAAAATTTTACTGCAATTCATATGAAGGAAGCTTTAACTTGGTCTCTAAAGAAGCCTCCAAAGACCATGTCATCCATGAATGAGAAAAATTTAAAAAAAAAAAAAAAAAACAAACAAAAAGACAGTTAAATATATATAGTTTCAAAACATATAATAGAGAACTGAAAGGCAGAAATATAAAATATTTGAATGTAAGTTTATTCTGTAATATACTTTGATTATTTTAATCATGAAATAATAATGCAAAAATGAAATTTGAGCTCATCACAAAATGACTGTTAGTGAGATCCTTAGTGTCATGACTGCTAATTTAGATTTTATATTTGAGCACCAATTTAGTCAGTTAAGCCTCAAGTCTCCTCGTTTAGTAATATCCAGTTGATTTCTTATCTTCAATAACAAATCATTTACAACACCAAAGCCACATTCTGACACACCTCGTACTTTATAAATGATCTGGACGACATCCATGATGTTTATATAAATTTTTTTTAGAACTTTTTCTTTTCTATAAAATATTTGAATGAAAGTTTATTCTGTAATATACTTCAGATCATTTTAATCATGAAATAATAATGCAAAATGAAATTTGAGCTCACAATCGGTATAGTAAGCAGAAGGGTGCATATCCTATGCATGCCCCACCCAAATATTACCATGGCCCACCAGTGGGGTATGTGCCCTACACTGGGAATCATTGTTATAGACTCAAAATTTAAATAATTATTATTTACCATAAAAAAATGAATTGTTCAAATCTTAGAATCAGTGCAAGGTACCAAATTAGTTTTAACAAAATCAATCATAATTCTTCTAGTTTAGGTCTTGATTGTCTGTGTCTTTTTTTGTTTCATCCACACCAATGCTTTCATATTTCTATATAAATTTTTATATAAATGTTTTAAAATATATGGCTCAACTTTTTACATAATAATCTTGACTATCCCTCTGTCTGACAGTTGTCTCACAATATTTGTATAAAATGAAAATATTTCTCCTTGTATAGTTTGCCTCTCTTTTTATATTAAACATATTCAAATAATGTATAAACTTGCCTCTCTTTCCCCTTGTATAGTTTGCATCTGAAAAAGGTTGTATAGCTTGCCTCTCTTTTTTAATTGTATTTGTTTTTCCCTCCAGAATTTATTTAATTTCCCCTTGTATAGCTTGCCTCTCTTTCTCCTTGTATAGCTTGCCTCTCTTTCTCCTGATAGCTTGTCATAAATAAAAAAAAGCTTAACAAGTACATATCAAATAGTCACTTTAATAAAACCAAAAAGAACAAAAATAACATTTGTATGTTTCTTGCTATTTCCAGCCATTCACATCCTGCAAAGTAGGGGCAGCAAATCAGAGGTCGACCATTGATCTCCTGCTTGACATGAACCCAGTCTCCCCAACAATCCCTGAACGCAAAAAAAGTTCCCCTCTCAAGTTCTTCAACTTCAACTCTTCTCCAAAATCCAACTGCCAGTCTGGGGTCACAACTTTACCTGGAGGAACCCAGGATGATATTTGGGGTCAGCCGATTGCGTTAATGGGTCAGTTGGGCTCAGTATGCGTGTTTTATGAAGCTTTACAGCCAACTGAAATCAAGTGTCTTAATTCATTTGGTAAGTTGCTTAAACGTTTTGTTTTGTTTTTTTATCATATCCTTTTATTGCCAAAAGAATTTTCAATTTTCTAAGAGGTGCTTAAAAGTTTTCACCTCAACCAAGAGGCCATTTAAAAAGGAAAAAAAGTAAACCTGATGCTTTGTCATTTGGTCAAACTTTGGAAAGTAAACTGGGCTGAGAATTTTTCAGCATATTTGCCTACAAGTCTTATTCCACTCATTATCAAGAATATTTCATGATTAATTTTATTTTTTCCTTTTATTTTATTATTACAATACTCTGGGTCAATATGCACTTTTTGTTGCTATTATTTTATGTCTAATTTTACTCCAGTATCTGTCTGTATTTCTGAGGTGAGGTACTGTAATTATTTACATTGTCTGGACTGTTGTCCTCGTCTTCATTGCCATATTCATAATATTTCAGCTGTTGTATGCTCTGGCCATCTTCAGGTGATTGGAATTTCAAACTGAACCCTTTATTTCATCTACCGGGGTTAGATTCTTATTTCATTCACTCTAAGAAAGCTGGAGCATACAATGGCTGAAAGATCATGAATATGGCAAAGATTAGGTCAACAGTCCGGACAATATAAATAATGTAAATAGTTAGAATACCTCATCTCAGAAATATAGACAAATCCTGAAGAAGGCCAGAGCCTACAACAGCAGACGTGTCATGAATATGGTGATAAAGATTAGGTCAATAGTCTGGACAATATGAATAGTGTAAATAGTTGGAATACCTCATCTCAGAATATAGACAAATCCTGAAGAAGGCCAGAGAATACAACGGCTGAAACATCATGAATATGGCAAATGAGGTTAACAGTCCAGCAATGTAAATAATTTAACTCCTTCTTATTGTTGCTTTTTATTTCTACACTCTAGGTCAATACACTCTTATTTTACTATTATTTTTTAACTAGTTTTATTCATACTCAACTTTCCACAAGCCTTTTGGCAAGTTTCTTTTGATGTTGAATGATGTCAGTTGAAAACATGTAAACTTTTTTCAATCTTGGCACTCAAATTCAAAAAATATCTTTGCATTGTAAAAGGTCATTTTCATGTCATGTTATGTTATAAAAATTGTCACATTCCCTTCAAAGCATGTGAACTTGTGTTCATATCAGACTTGGGACTATTAACTACATTGCTATCTTTTGACTTATCTTCTTTCCTTGAAAATGGCCAATGATGGTCGGAAATATCCTGAATGTAACACACCAAGTTCTTTTAAAATTTTTAATGTGTCTGATATAATGGATAATGACTTTAAATGAGAAATCTGAGAGCCAAGATCAAATTCCAGACGAGTTTGTTGCATTCATTTACATGTAAATATACTTGAGAAAGAGGTGTGAACCCATCTTTTCTCTCCCCAGCTATGGTTTAAATAGTAAGATTTGTATCTTGAGGGAAAAATGTTATTCTCAAAAATGTGTTAATGAAATATTGGTCACAAAAAAATTAATTAATCTTACTGTCTAAAATATGTTTTAGTTTTAAATTACCCACTTTGTTAATAACCCATTAAAAAAAAAAAAAAATGATGACTTGCAGCTATACCCATCTGGTCGATCAGAAAAAGCGTTCAATTAGAATGGAGCAAAAACAGCATCATGTTTAGATGTAACAGAGACTATCTTCAATTACTTTAAAGTACTTTTACTAAAGTAACATTTTAAATTAATGCAGTTACTGATATAACAGAAGTAGTGTGTATTTATTCAATCGAAGTTAGCCAAGGACATGAAGGGGTAAAACAGGCAACATGAAGACCCACTTGAGACCACAATTATTTTGGAGTTTTTGAAATTCAATTTGTCAGTGTGCTACCAGAGATGTAAAAGAGGATACATTTATAAAGCAATTGCTAAGTTTGATAAAAATTGCTTGAAAGATCTACGTACTGAGTTTGAACAAAATTGGAGGAAAAAGTTGAATTTATCGATTTTTGATTGGCTTTATCAATTATTGATCTTCTAGAAATTATCAATTTTTTATGCTAAGAACCTATCTCTTACATTGTATAATATATGTGTCAAGTTTGGTCAAAATCAATTGGATGGATCTCGAGTGAAAAGATATCACACAGACAGACTGACACACAGACATCCTCTGTTTTATATATATATATATATATATATATATATATGACCCACAGTGTTGATAACCCATAAAAATAGTCAATCCTTTAGTAGATTGTTTGTGATATGAAACTACTTATTTGACATGAGGAAAACCTGACTGAAAGACTTAGTAGATATTTCCTGTTCATTTTACATGCATATTATTGTTACTGATGGTTTTTTCCTTTTTATTCTGTAGGTCCGAACTATTCCAATCTTTTAACTGAAGATGGGGAACTTTCTGACCTACCTGGAAAGTTACTACTTTACTACAATGCCAAGGTACAAAAAAAAATTCCATAATTCCTTTTCAGCTTGGAAATTTGCATTGCCTATTATTTTAACAGAGCCACATGCCCTGGGCTGATACTTAGCAAGCTGGGGCTTACTAAATATATGATCACCAAAGTTAAGCAACATCAAGCCTGATTGGTACCTAGACGGGTGACTAGATGGAAATACCAGGTGCTCTAAGTTTGGATATATGGCTGATGCAATGAATAATGGTTTGGTATTGTTAATCGGAGAGCTGAGTTACAATTCCCATTGGATTCGTTATATCCACTTACATAGAGATACAAGGGCAAAGCTATGGGCTAATTAGTAAGACTTGTATCACTAAAAATCATTATTATCTCAAAAACAAAATTCTTACAATCTAAAAACATTTCCTGACTTTAAATAACCTGCAGAGGGTTGATAAGCTGTTGAAAACGAATCACTCAATCAGTTAGCACACTACTCTCCTGAAACAATTCACTAATATTGTGAATTTGATACTTGTACTTAATATCAAGAATAGACAGTTGAAATTTCTGGGGCACTTAAGGAGGAAAGAAGGCTTGAAGAAATTGATACTCACAGGACAGATTGAAGGTAAGAGAGACAGGAAAGTAATGCATAACCTACCTAGCAAACTTGTGAATGGATGGTGGAGCAAGGTTGAGAGAAATGGCAAAAAGACAAAAGTTGTTAAGAGCTACAAAGGATGGGAAATTGTGGAGAACCATGATCACCAATGTCATGAAGGGGACACGACGTATAGAAGAGGACCTTCTTATGACAGACTAACCAAAGAATTTGTATCCATGTGTGTAATATATGATGATTGCAATTACATTATGTATGGTTTGTGTAAACTGTTCCTCTCCAACTATATATATATATATATATATATATATATATATATACACACACACACACATTCACACATATGTATATATATATATATACACACACACACACACACATATATATATATATATATATATATATAGTGTATTTAGGTAGCAATGATTCTTTTAAAAAAAAGGTGCTTTTCAGTGTTGTGTTTTATATTTAATTTTTCATATGATCTTATAAAAGAAAAAATCTCAGAAAAAAAATATTTGGACAGTTTTTGTATAATTTATCTACTGAAAAAAAAAATTATGAGATCACATGAGAAATATAAAACTTGATCAAAGCACTTTGT